ACAAGCGTACATAGCAGGATCATGGAATGAAGTAAGGGCCCAAAATATCCAACATTGTCGCAGCAATTGCTAGTGAGATGGATGAGTAAGTGGACGATATCTTGCCTAGTCCTCCAGATCTAAAAATACTACAAGAATCAATAATCGAAGAGAATGTCAAAAAGCTCAGGGTTGAGATTTTCGAGCTGGATCGAGAATATGGAGTTTCCATCAATGATGATGATGAAGATTTTAACTACAATGATTAACATGAGGAAGATTTCATGGATGTACATGTCATCGAGACTAGACACGCTGCATCTGCGTGCGACGCTCAACCTCTCATCGAAGAGAATGCCGTAGATGAGCTGCACAGGGCTATCTTTCTATGGGATGAGCAAATCACCCAAATGGAGAAAAGAATGGAAGAGATGGCTACTGCCATGACTGCCATGGCCACAGTTCAGGGACAGTCTCAACCACCACAATTAGCCTCTCCAGAAGTCAATCAACCGGAGATTATACACATTACAAACGGAAGCCGCCTTAGTAAATAGAGATGATCAACAAAAGAAAGATTCTTCATTGAGTGTCATGCCAGAGAAGGAGTTTAAGCAAAGGGTCGAACAAGTTCGGGAGGCCTTAACCCAATCTAAGGGTGGTGCATTGATTTTGAAGGGCAGACCTTACCAGGAGGAGTTTGATGCCGTACCCTACCCTAAGGGTTTTGTGTCACCAAACTTTAAGATATTTGATGAGACTGAAAATCCCAGGCAACACATAGCACATTTTAGAGCCAGTTGTGGTAATACAGGAGGAAACAAAGCTTTACTCTTTCGACAATTTGTCAGCAGCCTGTTAGGGATCACTTTTGATTGGTATGTATAACTACCCAATAAATCAGTTAAGACATTCACCAAGTTAGAACAATTCTTCATGAAGAGATTTGCTGGAGCGCAACATCATGTGTTTCCACACCAAAAATAGTGCCGACAATCTCGTAATAGAAAAGCAGAAGCCTAAGAAACTTTAGTGAACTATATTTTGTGGTGGAGAAACCTTAGCATGAAATGCGAACCTCAGCTACTTGCACATCATGGAATTGAGATCTTACTCAAGAGCATCCACGGGCCAGTGGTTTTCATGCTCAAGGGACTCACCATCAAATTCTTTGAGAAGCTACTCAGCAAAGTCAGCAATCTTCAAGAAGAAGTCAAACATATGGATTCCCAAGATAAAGCGAAGAAATCAAAGTCCAAGACGACCATAATATTTGAAAAAAAGTCCGGAACAGTGACCATGATAGATAAAAGCAAACAACCAATGTAGATATATGCAGAAAATTCTCATCAGAGTTCTTGTCAGTTGTCATTGCAGCATGCTCAACAATAAACACAACAATATAGTCAGTCCATCCAACAACTGCATCAAGGAGGATCATACTGAATAGAGAAAAAGAAAATTTACATTGCAGAACAAAGGAAAGTGGCGTACTCCTTCAAAGATGAAGTCATACCCAAAATGTTCAGAAATCTGATGAAGAAGCTTGAGTTCAGAGTAATAGACCCGTAGAAACCCGAAGAGGTCGATAAGATGGATCAACCAAATTATTGCCCGTATCACAGATTGCTTGGACACACCATAGAGGAATGATTTTTCTTCAAGGATTGGCTCGAGAAAAATCTTACGGAAGTGAATATAACGATCCCAAAAGAATATTTAAAAGCACCTGATAAAGGTTCCTTAAATATGATTTTGGCTGAGCCAATCTCTCCGATTGACCCATATATTAGAAAAGATGGATGGAGTACGACTTGAAAGAAACTCAAGAAAATATTAAACCAAATCCAGTATGCTTCAAGACAAACCTCCGTTCAGAGTCTTCAGCCTGCCAAGCTAGAGATGAAGATTTCACTAGAAGATCTGCATCGTCAAAGAATAAGAAGAAGAAGAACACCACCGTAAAGACTGATAGCAGGGGGGTAGGATAGGGCTTGCCTTTACTAGATTAGTAGTCTCGGATTTGGGGAAAAAAATCCTTGAACCCCTGACCTTGTATGATTATCTTTTTGTCCCTTCGGGGTCTTATGAATATAATGATTATGATTTCGACTACGTTTTAATTGTTTTTAGTGAAAACGTAATTGATTATGACCAATCTAGCTTTGATATTGATTCCCATAATGATCCTCAAATCATACCTGAGTCCAATGAACTTGTTAGCAAGACCGAAGAAGACATCGACAATACCGCTTACGACAACACTGAGTGCGAGGAACCAATCCTCGAGCGCAACGGTACACCACTTGCCATCAACTTAGACCTTTCTAACATAGAAGAAACACCAGAAGATTCAAAAATGATATCTCAGGAAGAAGTTACAGAAGTGAACTTAAGGAGCAGGAGAGTGTTACCCCTGAGAATAGCTCCGACAGATAAAGGAAAGCAGATAGTAACTCGAGAGAGCTACCCCACCTCCACCAGTGCAAGAACCACATAACCAAGAGAAAATTGGAGGATCATACAAAGTAGATTACAATGTGGTAGCTCATCTTAAGAAGTTGCCGGCCAAATTAAGCATATACGAAGCTCTAATCCTATTAAAGGAGATGAGAGAGAGTCTGTGATCACAACTTTGCTTGACCCAGAAATTTTCCTAGCCCAGTTGGCCAACACATCCTCGGATGAAGTTTGCTCGTTGAAAGAACATTCTGGGATAAACTTTACAGATGAAGACTTACTGCTCGGTACCGCCAACCATAATCGTCCACTCTATATCTTCATTAACATCGGCAAATTTGTGTTGTCCTGAGTTTTAGTAGATCCTGGAGCATCACTCAACTTGATGAGTCTACAGACATTAGCCTATTTAGACATTAAAGCTCAGGAGCTTACGACCGATAAAATGATACTAGGAGGATTCAATGAAAAGGGAGAAAGAGCCCTTGTATCAATTACATTGCTTATGAAGGTTGAAGAACTAGTATCAACTGCTAAATTCCATATCATCGATGTTGAGACCTCTTTCAATGCTCTACTTGGTCAACATTCACGAACACAACATGGTTCCATCATCTCTACACCAATGCATTAAGTACTACAAAGAAGAACAAGAACATTGCATCAAGGGAGATTTACAACATTTTTCAATTCATGAAGTTGGCATTCATGATGATGTCGCCTACTACTCGCCTCTAAAGAAATTTGTCTTCTCTTGTGAAATTGTGACCAATAAAAGTGAAGATTTAAAAGAAGTACAATGGTAAAGCCATTTAGCTCTACTTCAGCAATATTCCACCACTCTTTTGCAACGAGTTGGTGGGGGTTCTTTTAGTTTGCTCTCCTGAGGTTGAGGCCGGGGACGTGGACGAGCAAAGACCAATTTAATTATTGAACAGACTAGGCCGACCATAAACACCATCAACATTGATGATAAAGAAAGTTCTAAAGATGAAATCCGTGATGAATAAAGTTTTGAAGATGAAATAAAGATGACAAAATTGTAGAAACATCAGTACGAGATATCCTTAGAAGACACAAAGAAAAGCAAATATAAGACAATGTATGATTGGATAAACCACTATGTGAACACCATGACCCTTACTCTGATTCTTCCTCAAAATGTGGAGAATTTAGAGGTCAAGAAGGTCCTTAGCACTGGTTCAAAGCCGACCAAATTTTATCGTGCTTCTACTTCTACTTATCTTAAAAATCATGTAAATTTGGATGAGGATCCTAATGAATTAATACAATTACATTTTGGTTACTTTTTGCCTTGTGTACAAAATTTAATTTGATAAGGGCATTTGCCAAAACAAATGCCAAAAGATAAATTACAACTTTTTGAAAATTTGTGGGATGCTAAAAGTCAAACTCCCAACTCGAAGGAGGGTCTCAAATTTGGTACGGTCAGACCAGTCGATGATTCAAAAATTTGTATGATTGTTACTAGTGAATCAGAAGAGTACTTCCTTGATATAGAAGATTACTCTACTAATCTGCTAATAGAAGATGCTTTGCCGGAATTTGAGGAAGAAATTAAATCAACTATTGATGAACTAAAGGAAATTAACCTTGAGACAGAAGAGCAACCCCGACCTACATTTATAAGTTCTCTACTCAATGATGAAGAATATATAGAATTGATTAAGCTAATAACCTAATTCAAAGATTGCTTCGCATAGAGTTATGATGAAATACCAGGACTATCAGCAAAAGTTGCGGTTCATAAGATCGGGGTGGACAAAGACATGACCCAAGTAAAACAGGCCCCAAGAAGAATGCAACTTGAAATAGAGAACAAGTAATTGTCAAGGTGAAGAAATCAATAAACTCTAACTTTGTAAGAGAAGAGTAATAGCCCACGTCAATAGACTCTAACTTTGTAAGAGAAGAGTAATAGCCCACGTGGTTAACTAACATTGTACCTGTTAAGAAGAAAAATGGACAAATCCGTGTATGTGTCGACTTCAAGGATTTGAATAATGCATGTCCAATGGATGAATTTCCACTGTTGATACCAGAAATGATGGTGGATATTTCTTCGACACATGAAATTTTCTCCTTCATGGATGGATCGTCGGGGTACAACCAAATCAAGATGGCTCTAGAACACGCAGCACTTACAGCCTTCAGAACACCGATCGGGATCTTCTGCAACATAGTGATGTCGTTTGGGTTGAAGAACGTCGGAGTAACATATCACATATCAACGAGCTATGACAAAGATCTTTGATGACCTCATTCACAACCAAGTGGAATGCTACGTGGATGGTTTGGTCATCAAAAGTAAATAAAAGATAGACCATTTGTACATTTTTAGAGAAGGAGTTACTGTTACATTGATTTGCTGAAGTTGCAAGTCTTCTCTTGCCTCTTCTAAGTTGGCGTTTGTCTTTGGCCTGGAGTTTGTCTCTTCTGTATCTTGTTCTTCCTGAGGTTGGGCTTGGAACAAGTTACATTTCAAGTTATTCTGATTCTTGCAACTTCACTGTGTTTTTGGGGGTGCTGGTTGGTGAACCATGACCACCCCTATTGCTCTGGAGACGCTGGAGATGAATTTGCAGTGGACTAAAGATACTTATGATGGGGTGGTAGGAAACCCTTCTTCCCCATTGTTAGATCCTGATCTCCTAGTATTTCCTCAGGAATTCCATAACACTGCTGCAAGGAGAGGTTCTCCCTCTTGCATACATCCTGTGAGATCAGAAGATGGGGAGCCAGCTGCTATCTTATCTGAAAAGGATATTGCTGACTTAAACTTGGATGTTCAATTTACTCTTATTGGCAAATTTAGCTTGGGCCATCCGAAGATGGAACTTGTAAGGAAATAATTTGACACTTTGAAAATATAAGATTGGAAGCTAGGTCTGCTGGATGGCAGGCATCTCCTAATCCAGCTTACAAAGGAAGAGGACTATGCCAGAATCTTTGCCAAACAATCCATCATTATAGCTTGAACACAAATGAAAATTTTAAAATGGTCTTCTGAGTATGAACCCTCACAAGAACCTCCCACAGAGCCTATTTGGTTTAAGCTACCTAAATTGCCATTACATCTATTTAAATTGAATGCCTTGTTCAATATTGGGTGCACCTTGGGTACACCTTTGAAGGTAGATGCTGCCACTTATAACAAAGCCAGACCAGCCAGCGCAAGGATCCTAGTGGAAAGGGATGTCACTCTTCCTGATGTTAAGAGGATTTAGATTGGGGACACTTTGAAGGGGTTTTGACAAGAAGTAGTCATGGAGCAAAGACCCCATTATCACCAACATTGCAGAATGTTTGGACATACTAGGGAGAGATGCTATAGGTTAACCCCCCCTTCCCCCCCAATAGAAGGGCAATTCACCACCCTCAGCAGGATTGATGCCAACAAAAATCTCCTGAATGTTGGAAGTAAAGAAGTGCACAAGAAGATCCCCACTGTAGCAGGGACAGAAGAGACTCTCACTCATCAAGAATTCTCCTTTGTGGCAGGGTAGTTGAAAATATAAGTACTTTTGCTAGTTAGAAATCTACAAAGGATAAGAATTTGGAGATCCATTCAAAGGTAGAGACAGTTGGGGAGGTGATGCCAGACCTCTTGTCTCCCAGAAATTTAAAGAACCATGTGGTGAATTTAGTGGTGGTTCCGCCCACCCAAAATTTGGTAGAAGCAATGAATAAAGAACTGGAGTCAGATTGACAAATTCAGAAAACTAAGCAGAAAAAGAACTCCAAACCAGAAGAACTGAATCTTGGCAAAGGAAAGGAGCTACAAATATTGGAGGCTTCAACCAATCAGATAAAAAAAGTTTCTAACAAAACTAGAGGGAGGACTAGGTCCAGGTTCCAACCTTACTCTTCTCCCCCCTCCCCATGATCAATTTGTTGTGCTGGAACATAAGGGGGATTGCCCACCCCTTATCCTTAAAAAGTCTTAAATATCTCAATAAAAAACACAAATTTTGTCAAATCCTTCCCTGGCTTCAATCTGTTCACTAATATCAACAACAAAATTTGGGTTTTCTGCAGGAAAGAAATGAAGTTCTCTATCTTACTGAACCATACTCAAATCTTACATATGAATCTTAGCTTTGTGGATATGGAGGTGTTTGATTCTTTTGTCTATGCAGGAAGCTCCAAAGTTGCTAGAACTGATCTGTGGGAATCCCTGTAGCTCATCCAAGGATCAATTGATAAGGCTTGGCTTGTGGGAGGAGATTTCAACTACTTGGAGAAGGAAGGACATGTGGGAAAGGTTGGATAAAGTGCTTGCAAATGATAACTGGATCCAAAATTTTCTACAGGCCTCCATCACTCACTTAAGCCTAGCTGGTTCTGACCATAGGCCTTTACTGATCTCTATTGGGAATATGGTGACAAGCTAGAAAAGCTCTTTCAGATATTTGAATGTGTGGTCTCAACATTTGAACTTCTTGAATATTATTAAGGAGCATTGGAAGAATGACCTTCACCCTGACCCCTTCATTAACCTGTGGCTTAATCAAAAGAAGGTGGGCAAAGCTCTTAAACAGTGGAGCTGGGACACTTTTGGGGACCTTCTGCTGATTGCGGATAAGGTTGAAAAGGAGGTGATTGATATGGGGGAGGAGCATAGCAAAGGGATGATTGATGAAGCTGTTCTTCTAGAGGCTAATGAGAAACTCTTAAATGCAGTACAGTGGCAAGAACAATTCCTTCAACAAAAGGCTGCCAAAACCAAATTCACTGAAGGAGATAGAAAAACCAAATTTTACCATGTCTGCATTAAATACCAGAGAAAATGTAACACTATTCACTCCATCAAGGACCAGAATGGAACTTTGCTCAGACAAGAGGAGGAGATTGCTGAAAGTGCTGTGCAGTACTGTCATAACCTTATGAATGGGAACAATATTGATAGAGTGCATATTGATAGCAATTTGTTTGCAGACAACAAGTAGTTCATTGCCAGTCTGAACTTGAATGATATCCTGATGAGGAGGAGATTAAAAGAGCTTTGAATTCCATTGACAGTTCCAAATCTGCTGGCCCTGATGGGTTTACTGTTGATTTCTACAAGAAAGCCTGGGATGTTATTAAGGTGGAGGTGATTAAAGCTATCCAACATTTGTTAAAGATAACTCCCTACCTAATTATTTCAGTGCTTTCACTATTGTGTTTATTCTAAAGACTTCTATCAAGGAAAGCTGGAACCATTACAGAACCCTGAGCCTTAATAATGTCATAAGCAAAGCTAGAAGCAAAATTCTTGTGCACAAACTCCAGCCAGTATTACCTCATCTTGTCAGCACTAACCAAGCTGCTTTTGTGAAAGGCAGAAGCATTGGGGACAACATCCTCCTGGCACAAGAACTTCTACAGGATTTGGAGAAACCTTGTAGAGGGGGAAATGCCATTTTTAAGCTTGACTTGAAGAAGGCTTATGATATGGTGAACTGGGATTTCATTATAGAATGCTTGGAGGCTAGGGGATTTTCCAGGGAGTTCTGTTTGATTATTAAAAGATGGCTGGAGGATAATGCAAATTCAGTTTTTATAAATGGAAAATCTCATGGGTTTTTTAAGGCTTCTAGAGGGCTCAAACAAGGGGACCCTCTATCCCCCACCATTTTCATCCTGGTCCTGGATTACTTCTCTAGACTTATTGATTGCAAGGAAAATAGAAAAAGCTTCAACACTTATGACAACAGAGCTAAGATGGATATCAATAATCTGATCTATGCTGATGACATTCTGATGTTTACTAGGGCCACTAAGTCTGCTACCAAGTCCATTATGGAGTGCCTGCAAAAATTTCAATAGGTGTCTGGTCTTAATGTAAACAAGGATAAATGTGAGATCCTGATCAGCAAAAGAGTCTCCCTACCAATCAAACAATGGATACACTCTTACACTGGATTCTCTAGCCTGAGCCTCCCCTTCAAATATTTGGGGATTCACTTGATAAGAGGAAGAACCAAGGTGACTCAATTTGAAGAGGTTATTGATAAGATAACCTCAACTCTTCAGGGGTGGT